AAGGATAAATGGCTGCCCACAGACAAGGGGAAAGGCCGAGGAAGACCCTTCTCTCAGCGCCTCTCATAAGGAACCGCCCGGCTAACGCCTGGATTTTAGCCTCCACACTTGTAAGAATGTTCCCTACTTCAGCCACACTGTCTATGGTACTGTGCTTTCTCATGGCAGCCTTAACACAGAATAAAAACATACAATTAAGAATAATAAAGGCACGTATTAAGTACTTATTGTATCAAGTGAGTAAGTGCAAGAATACTGTGCAAAAACGCAAAATAATGTAAGTACAGTTAGGTATCACCTAAGGATGGACACATTCTAGGAAATGTATCACTGTGAACAAAAGGGAGAACATAAACAAACCTGCACGGGCTAACCTACTTACCCCTACGCTGGCTTAGTATCTCACAGTACTAAATATTGTAAGTACCTGCAGTACAACGCTGAGTACAAGGCCACTAGACAAGAGGAAATTTTCAGATCCACTGTGATCTTAGGGAGCCCACTGTCAAAGATGCAGCCTGTCACTGGCAGAAATACCATCCAGCAGCAGACAGTTCTCATGGAAACTACAATTAAGCTGATTAAGAGTAGGGTGTGCAGAAGGAGCCTCAGAGGCCATTAAGAGGGTAATTCCACAGAGAGAAAGATGGTAAGGAAGGCTCTGAAGCACAAAAACTTGGTAACGTAAGTTTAACTGGAGTGGGTGGAATACTATGAAGTAAGAGGAGAAGATCAAGGCCAGAAAGGAAAAAGGGCCCAGGTCTACGGAACAGGAGGCTTCTTAACTCTACAGAGGAACCGGAAACACTGAAAAGTTTCTGATAATGGCAGGAGGGCAGCCAGATAGGAACATCATGATCAGAAAGTTAGAAAGCAGCTTCAGCTCTGACCATTCACAGACCAGGAGAAGCAAGTGGATGCAAAGTGACTAGACAGTAACTATGGACAGTGGCAGAGACTAGGAAGTACCCAGAACCACGATCGATTTAAAAGTCACAGACTGACAGAACCTGACAACTTAAACACTGAAGTCAAGAAAGAAAGAAAAAAGTCCGTATATGAAGGGCACAGGATTGCAATGATAAACCAGTCAGAGACAACAATACTGGGAGTACAAGCCCCTCCTTTAAAAAAAACAAATTTGTGAATATAAAATTTTACACTCAGCCAAATATCAATTAGTAATAAAGGTAATATTTCCCATTATATATCATCTCAAAACCATTGTTCCTCTAAATACACTCTGTCTTAGTACTTCTGGGACAAAACACCAACACTCATAATTTAAGGAAGCAGAAGTTTATCTTGGCTCATGTCTCCCTCCATAGTTGGCAGGTGTCTTGGCTACTTTTCTCTCATTTCTGGGACAAAATACCCGCCACTCAAAACAAAGAAAGGAAAGGTTTATTTAGCTCACCGTTTGTGGAGGTTTCAGTCCATAATCTGCTGGCACCAAGGCAGGGTGGCATGGCTGAGGGGCAGTACTCCAAGGCAGCAGCCAGCAAAAGCAGCAGGAGCAAGCCTCTTGTCCTCCTTTATATTATACACAGGCTACCTCCCCCACCGGCACCAGGGAGGCTGTAACAGTCACAAAATCTCCTCGCCCTCCTCTTGCACAGGATGGGGATGTTTACAAAGTGAGAGCCCTGGATCCCTGATGAGTCTCTCAATTAAACTGCTCAAGCTGACACAATGTATCAACCATCACAGGAGGCTGTCAGGCAGGAGGACACGGCAGAGGGACTGCTCTGCATGGCAGATGGGAAGCAGACAATCAAGGAGAGGGACCCGGGAGGCGAGATGTAATCTCCTGGGTCACACCTATGATGGCTCACCTCTTCTAATCAGGTCCTACCTCCTAACACCAAACCAGCGATAAGCTTCTATAATCCAATCACAGCCCAAAGTTCCCACCTATGATCACATAAGGCTTGAGTGTGCATTTAGATATAAACCACAACATTCCTGCTCCAGCCCCCAAAAGACTCAAGTATGTCTTTACACAGAATACATCGGTCATGTCTAAGAGTCAACAGTCTGAACAGTTTCAACACTGCTGAGAAGTCCAAGTCTGAAGTCTCCTCTAAGTCTCAGAGCAAAGTCTTAGCTGTATACCACTGTAAATATCAAGAACACTGTCAACACACAAGGGCACCGGTACACACTCCCATTCTAAGAGAGGAACAGAAATGAGTGGAACCAAACTAAGACTGGAACCCTGCAGAGTAATCACTAAGTCCTACCTCCGTCCCAGCACCCAGGAGAAGGCAGGACCAGACACAAGCTCCATGTGGCTTGGGCGCCTTGCTGCTGCAGCAAGAAAGGGAACCAGATAGGGCACTCTAACCCTCCTTCCAGGCCACGCCCACAGGACCCGCCTCTTCGGATCAGATTCCACCCAAATCAGCCATAAGCTCCATAATCCAGTCAGCCTCACAGGTCCCACCTATGACCTACAAGGCTTGCGAGAGACACCTAGAAGCAAACCAGGCACCCTTTCACAGAAAGTTTCCACCAAAATAAAGAAAGCAAAGAGGCAGCTTTGGGTCATGAATAAGTGAAGCAAAACAGGAGGGCGAGGAGAAGCTGCTGCAGGCTGGTGAAAAGGAGCCCAGACAGCGGGCATGCGGCACACCGGTCCTTAGGCACCAGGGCAACACAGGCTGGGGCAGCTCCAGAAAACCGCTCCCAAATAATAGAGGCAATATATTACCTACGTGTTTAACTGTGCCACAAAGCGATGGAAAGTTCAAAGATGTATTAGTCGTGGGCAGAGAGAGAACTAAACAAATGAACTGTAGCGGCCACCCACGGGCAACGAACGGGTTAAAACCCTTTTCTAAAAGCTGAACTCCTACTAAAGTCATCCCGTTCTGTAGGTGACCATGAGACAGTCGCAGACCTTTAGCTGTGAAGCCCGTCATTTCTCCCAGGAAGTCCTGGACCAGCTTCCCTGAAAGATTATGTATCGACCTCCTGCCACCCTCCTGGCCACAGCTAAGGCTCTGATGCATCAGAGGAAATGGTCTTATCAGAACTACAGCTATGAACATAACTGCAACACGATACAGGGGCTCCCAGAAGATCTACGAGCTACTAAGTGATCTGGGGAAAGACGTTCTTTAGATATCAATCACATTTGCTGCCTAGACTCTCTTTTCCTTACCCTCAGACCCTGACAGAATGCCCAATCTCGCAACCTGACTGGCCCTTTGGACACTCTTCTGCTGTCCCTTTTGACAGCCATGCTGACTAAATAAACTCGTAAATCATTTTTAACACTCATCACTGGTCCTTCATATACCATCTTATGTGACATGAATGACAATTAATTCTAAGAAAAACACAGTATTTTCCAGAAAGGAGTGCATCTATAAATCTCTGGTTCAATAATGCATCCAGCTAAATATTGATCTTATACCATATGATCTGATAGTATGTAGAGGATGGGAAGGAGAGCTAAGTCTTCAAATGCTTCACATTAGCATGTCAGTATCTACAGGTAAAACTGACAGTTCCCAAGAAGTATCAGAAACACTACATATATATGTATTACAAACAGGAAGGTGATGACCACAAGAGAAGCCAAAAGGCTTGACAGCTGCCCCTTCTGGGAACGGGACGGGTTACTGGTGAAACAAGTGAGAAACTGCTGTTTTTATACTAAGCCTCACAGAAATAAGTGGTCTTTTAAAAACAGCATGCATGTAAAACATTAACATCTACAGTAAGATACAGCAATAGCACATGCGCTTGGATCCTTATGCTAAATCATAATGTTTCTGAGACAGGATCTCACCACATAATTCAGTCTGGCCTCCAGCTCGCAGTGATCCTCCTGCTCAGCCTCCCAAGTGAGGGGATTAACAAGTGTGCATCCCCACACTCAGTCAATTTAAATCAAAATGTACGAACAAACTGTAAGGCTACGCATTTAAACTCTATGATAGCTTTTTTTTAAAGTGAGCAATGAAGTGTACCATAGGGCTAAAAATGTTAATTTAACATGACTTACTTAGTAAAGTGAGACATCTTCTATCAGAACAGTGTGCAATAAATATTTATATATTTTTGACTGTACCTAATCCAAATTTTTCTTTGTAATGGTGTAACTGTTAAGAGATATCTTTTTAATTAAATTTTTTTCTCAATGCAAAATGTTCTTGCCTCATCTCTCAGCACTTTTGCCAACTCAGTGATTTATCTCTCTCCGCTCTGAAGAAAAATCGCCCTGACTTCCCACCGCTGATCGGCAGACTCCTGTCACACTGCCCTTTCTAGTGACAGGAACACGGTGCGTGTAAACGCTGGGACTCCTGTTGGGGCAGGGTGCAGCCTTCCTCCAAACCCCGCCAGCACAGCACCGTGGCCCCCCACTCGGGAGCCTGGCCCCTCAGAATGTAAGAATTAAAACAAACAGCGCACCGCCAAAACACACCTAACTGTGTCCACTTCCTTAACCAACATCATTACTATCCATCGTTCCCCACGAACTTTAATGTAAATTAAAAGAATAACCGCTACCCAAATGACAAACCAGAACGGTGTCAGCCCTCGAAAAGATCTCTACAAACACCATTTAACAAAACTGAGGTGACAAAGTTGCAGTCTGGGAACAATAAGATGAGAAATATTTTTAGTACAAATTTGCAAAACCTATAGGAGTGCTGGTATTTTTTACAAAAACATTGTTACTGTGGCCTCAGAGCACGATGGAATCAGGAAAGTCTCAGCATCTCACGGAGACATTACAGAGAACTTACTAATACTGTGAATGCTTATGATACGCGCAAAGCACGTTAGTCACAAATCAAAAAGCAAGTGAATATAGCCCCAAAATAGGTCAGTGCCTGGGAAAACATTCAACTAAACTTCAGTTTCTGGAGCAATATTAATAGAACATTACTACAAAACATTAACACAAAACATTTTTGAAAAAAGTAAGATGTAAAACAGCAACCCAAGTCTTTTGCAAATAAAGAAACCATTGTACAACTTACGGTATTTACGATGAATTTCATCTATTTCTTCTTCTGTTTGGTCCTTTGTAAAAGCCATAGCCTACAATAATCAAGAAAATTCCTTAAAATTCCACCCCAAATGACAAAAATGAAAACAAATAGTGTGAATTTAGGAATCTCTAATGACAGTGTTTATAATGGAGAAAAATACCCCTTAACTGTTTTCTACTGACTGAGGAATGCTTCCTACAATTATAAATAGTATACATTTTACCCATTTATTCTCATCAGTAGAAAATGCAGCATTTATTTCACTATAATATGTAAAGTATTAACAAAATAACCCATTAGATTTCCTATTTTTATGTCTGATTTTCTACTTTCATTGTTGTAACAGGTCATACCTAGAATTTAAAGACACTGGTGACCAGTGGTAAGTCACATGTATCTGCCCTCTTTTCCACCTACATTTTCCAGGTCATGTTGGAAAAATCATAAAGGAAAAACTGCAATAATACAAGTCTTAGTGTTTTGCATTTCTAATTCTACCTTTTAAAATCTCAGACTAAAAGACTAGTAATCTACTTATGTAATTCACGATAGACTCCACCTTACAGTTAGCATACAGACAATAATAAAATCAATGGGAATTCCATTTTCTCTATCATCAGGTTATAGACTTACTCTCCAAAGTAGCTGGTTGCCTTACAAACATACTGGAGGGCCTAAAACGCTTCCTGCATCGTCATATGACAAAACAGCTATTTCCTTCTTTGGAATATTTTTTTTTAATTTTGGATCATCATGTTAGAAGAAAGCAACAGTGAAGCATTTTAGGCCTCTGAGCCCCTTAACAACTCAACAGAACTCAATCTTTATAATTTTTAAAATTATTCAGTATCTCCAATAATTATAGCTAATCACAGATGTGGAGAATGCCAGAGCCACAAAGGATCTCAGGGTCACGCAGCTCAGGTTCTTAGTTTTGCAGATGAAAACACTAAGAGCCACAGATTAAATAATGTACCAAAAGCAACCAACAGCAAAGGGCCAGTGGCCAAGCTCCCCGATGCAGAGGCTCAGGCTCGGCCTACAGGGCTCTGGCGCATGAACAGACACTACTTGGGTAGAGCATTTTTGTGCTGTAAGTCAGCTGAGACTGAATATTGTGTTAAAAATGTGTTACAAATAAATCTTAACATTCAAATAGAAACGTGTCTTAGTACATTTACTACTAAGAACCGTTATTTTGGTAGAGTATCAATTTTTCCCCCTTCATTTCTATCCAGATACTGAAAAAGACCGTCAACATACACTTTCATTGAGTTTACTTGCTTCAAGACGCATCCTGGTTTTCTCCATGTTTTCAATCTCTTCGACTATCTCAGCAGCTGTTAAAACAAGAAGACATAACCACTGTTCACTACATGGTGTCGATCATTACACTACAGCTGTGTATACTGTGAAGAGTAGAGGAAGATACGTAATAGGCACATAGGAATTCCCTCTCCCAGCTTTGCAATTTTTCTACAAAGTCTAATTTTCTTTCTTTCTTTTTTATTTTTTTGGTGCTGGGGATATGAACTCATGACCTTGTGCTCACCAGGCAGGTGCTTAAGGCGCTGAGCTAAATCCCTGGCCTCTATTATTTTATAATAATAAGTTAAAAAAAAATAACAGGGGGCCAGGGATTTAGCTCAGTGCTGTAAGTGCCTGCCTGGCAAAAAAAAAAAAAAAAAAAAAAAAAAAAAAATGACAGGAATCCAGGCACGGTGGCACACACCCGTAAGCACAGTTAAGTGGAAGGCTGAGGCAGAAGGATCACAAATTCGAGCTTAGCCTGGGCAACTTAGCAGATCCTGTCTCAAATTTTAAAAAATAAAAAGGGAGGAGGATGCAGCTCAGTGGCAGAGCACTTGCCTAGTATGTGAGAGGTGGATTTAATCCCCAATGCCAACAAAAAACCACAGAAATACACAAATTTTAAAAACAACAAACATGTAGTTAGAACAAACTGTTTACACATACAGTCTGAAACATAAACAGAAGAAAAGTCATAGCTGTAAACAGTAATCCAAATGGAATATAAAAGTTAAGCGATCACTGTGAGTTCATTCTCTAGGAACACCTTGATGAAAGTCTAATATATTAAATGCTATACTACTTTTCAAGGAGAGAGAAAGGTCTACAAACACCGGGGGAAACGCCCTTGCCTTCAGCACCTGTGTAGTAGGTACAGCTACAAAACTCTTACCAGAGAGGTCTGAAATGCAGCATCACACACTAGATGTCTATGAATGCAAACAGTGTAGAACATGCAAATGTCACCTTTCTGGATCCAAAGTCAGTCAATTAGAATTAAAGTACACAAGGCCTGCTACAAGAATCTACATGTTTATATATTAATGCCTAGAATTTTCTCCCACATAACTTACAGGCAGCTATAATGGTTGGTGAAAGAACATTAGGATAATACGATAATTAAATTGTACAGTAGATACGCAGGAAAATCCACATTTTTCTCTATATGCGTGAAACAATCTCTATTAAATTTATCTTAACCCACAGACCATAAGAGGATCCTTTAAGAATCCAACTGTTTCAATTTAATGAAAGTTTGTTTCCCAAGCACTGAGTGATACTTTTGCATCCCTAATATCATGAAACAGTTAGAAACAAATAAATAACATCTTTCTCCCTGAGCAAATACTGCTTAGCCCTTCTCTCCTTCCCAAACTTCCTGAGTCAAAGTACAGCAAGAAAACAAGAACACTATCTGTGCTATACCTACTCCACTGACACAGTCTCATTCAAGACGGAAATGTAATAGCCCTCTCCTGAGATGTTAAGAAACCTGTATTAGGATTGGGTACAATTTAGGGGATGAGATCTTTCAGGGAGACCTTTGATTCTCTTCAGGATACCCTGGGGAGCACACCAGCTGGCCAGGCATGCACAGACGAAGGCTGGATCGCTCTCTCTGAGGAAGAGGATCACAGCTAACCACTGCGATGAACTGCACAAGGCCAAGTGTGGGTTACCATGAAAGTACACACGCAGACTGCGGGGGAAGAGGACACGAAGCCACCAAGAAGCAAGCCCTCCCTGGGGATCAGCATCCCGTGTGGGCCTCTGGGAGAAGAGCCAGATGCCAGTCCCTTCTGGCACACAGGCTGGGAAACAAGAGCCAACCCCCAGCCCCACAACTGCCACCGTAAGCGACCTGCTGATTTGGAGAAACACAAGCTGCAATGATGGCTACTGGGGCGGGATACAACTTAATGCTTTAGTGTTCGGTGTTTCACTGTGCCTGTGGTCTGATCACCTATTCAGAGGATGGCAATACACAGTGTAGCGTCTGTGGGGATCTCCTCCGGCGGTGGTGGCCTTTGTTGATTCCCTATCATCTTGTTTTGAAGTCCTGTATCATTTTCATTGTTTTGTTAGGTTGGGTTTTGTTCTGGTTTGTTTTGATTGATTTTATTACATCTGATGGCAGGAGCAGCTATTTCAAAGTTAACAAGACATATTATGGTAGCCATTTTGGATTTACTATTGTCTTACTTTGATGTCTTTTATTGCATTCATTGTTTTGTTTTTATTGGTTCTATTCCGTTGTGCTTGATTTTTACTATGTCCGAAAGTATCTGCATCTATTTTGAAGACAGTAGGAGGCACCATGGTAACCTTTGTTGATTTGCTATTATTTTTAAGTCCTTAATACTGTCATTTATACTGGTTTGTTTTGATTGGCTTTGTTCTGTTTTGCTCTGCTTAGTTTTAATTTCTTTAAAATAAAAATTAAAAATAGTAAAGAAAGTACGCAAACCCTGGGAGGTGAAGCCACAGGGGAACTGCACCAACTGCTGTGTGGTGTGTCACTGCTGAACAGCAGGAGGTGGGAATGAGCCCCCCTCCAGATCTGGGCAAAGGAAAGGAAAACAGGCACCACCCCTACCCATATACACACACACTGCATGACAGATAAGAACCCCCAACTAGATCTGCTCCCCTAGAGATAGAAGTCTTAAGCCACTGTAGAAAGGGAAGCAAAACCACTTTCCCTAGAACAGGGTAAACTCGCTCTGGCACTCAGGGAAGTAAACAAACACCATGCTGGACTCCTGCAGGAGGCTCAGGAACCCTCCCTAAGCCCAGATTCAAAGGGCCTCCCTGAGAGGGATGCGGCATGGGAGTAACAGAGAAGGCCCCCTTCTCCCTGCCATGGACGAGTTCCCAGTGACAACAGGAAGGAGCATGGAGCAAACCCTCCCTGAGCACAGGCTCACGGGAAACACTAAGTTACAGTTACACAGACACAGTTTAAAAAGTGACAGTTCACCCAGCAACCTACGAAGCATAAGGAAATTCTCAAAAATTGTGAGATTGGTGTTGATCTGAGGGCAAATGCCACAATGACAAAACCCACACCACGTTCAACTCCTGACCAAATGTATACACCCCAAACAATAAAGACCTAACAGAAGATGAGACAGACCTATTTCTGGGCACAAGTACCATTATTTATTTCAGTGTTTAGATTCTTACATATAAAGACTGGGTTGCAAGAAAAACTTGTACAGTACATGAAAAAGTGAGCAAAAAAATTCAGCTGTCACTCAGCTGTTAAAACTATAGACATGGGCTCTAAAATAATTACCAGTAATACGCTAGTAACAAGCTAAGGAACCTAGTGCCAAAGGTAAACAACATGAATAACGAGCCACTCAGTAGAAATATTTTAAAAATTATTTCCTTAACCAAGAATTAAATGAAAATATTTTAAAATATAATAGTTAGAATCAGCTAAGGAATAAAACTAATGAGCCTACAATAGAATTGGTATTATCCAATCCACAACACACAAATAAAAAACCACAGCAGAACAAAGCACCTAAGGGCAATGGGACGGTAAACAAAAGATACAAATGTAGTGGGCCAGAAAAAGAAAGAACAGTTCACTCGCTTCCTCACACAGGTCCCAGATATCCCCATGCCATACCTTTCTAATGACAAATGTACTGCAGTATAACAATAGCCAGCTGTGAATGTCGGGAGCTGTGCTGGGAACACAGGAAGCAATCCTGGTGTTCACTCACTCGGTAAGATGAAGGACAAGGTGTGTGCACAAGTGTCAACGTGTAAATGGTTGGGTTTTATCCACGTTATGCACCATGTTACATTCTTATGTATCGTAACTTTTTAATTAAATGTTTTCTTCTCTTTTTTCTGATAGAATTAGCCTAATTCAGCACAATGTCACATGAAAACCCACCTTTACAACTCTGGGAGGAGGCTGAAAGTGCGTCATCAGGTGACTCAGCTGTGGAACATGACTTGGATGGTGTAAGCCAAAGAACTTAGCAGGATATGACAGACAGATACGATAGACAGAGAAGTACAGAACCAAGACCCTGATTCAGATGAGGAAGAAATCGGGGAAGTAAATAAATACTTGACTGGCCAAAATGCGACAAAATTATCAAGTATATCTGAACAATCCAATGTTAGAAATGTTAGTGGGTCCTTGTCAGGGATGAAACCTACTGGACGGAATGGCAACCCTGGGGCTCAACGCAAGACAATAATGAAATACAAGAAAACATTCTACATACACAACAGTAACACCCAAAGTATACTCATCATGGTACCTCACCATCCGGACCAAAAGCCTTCATTGCAGGACTTTACACTGTAACCATCAGAATCTAAAGGGTTTATGGAGAAGTGGCAGATGTGGCACTGAGATTTTTAGAGCAACAATGACACTCGAGATTTGGTTTCCTTCAAAACTGGCTACATTTTGATGACAGACATATCAAGAAAAAAACCTGACAATCTGCTCATCTGTTGAAATGCTCATTTGCTGAAAAGCTTTGTTTTGAATTGTCAAGCAATTTAGACACCATTTGAATACCTGACAACTGAATGAACAACTTGCTACACTGCATGGTTGCTGAAGCTTTTAGCAAAATATGCAAACAAACCTTCAAATATGGTATAAAAATATATGCCTTGGAAGACACAAAGGCATTTTACAACTTGAACTTAGAAATTTATCCGGGAGCTCAGCCACCAGGTCTTTTTTACCGCAGAAATAAGCGGGATGACTTTGTGGACAGATTTGTTGCACCTATTTCAAAAGTAACCCAAACGTCACATTCAACAATTGGTTCACTGTTACCACTGATGTTGCAGTTTACAAAAAGAATGCCAGCTGACCACCACTAAAACTATTCCCAAGAACAAAGCCCAGAGCCCTGAAAAAAGCATTCCAAGTGCGCGTCACATAAACCCATAGTGCAATCTCTGGGATTCAGAAAGACCTAACATTGGTCTCCTATACGGCAGAGAAAAAGTATTGATACTGTCAATACTACATATGATGACA